GAATATGACATCTTTTGATATATAGAATTTAGTCAAAAATTAATTTGTCTTCAAGATTGGTTGAATTTTTTTTCTTTTATTACTTGTCCTAGTTGTGTGTGTGTGTGTGTGTGTGTGTGTGTGTGTGTGTGTGTGTGTGGAGAGAGAGAGAGAGAGAGAGAGAGAGAGAGAGAGATTGATTTGTTTTTCTAGGTATCCTTTCTGTTTGCTTACTGATTTCTTCCAACTCTTCCCTACCCACAACAGCCTACCTCTGGTCACATGTTCCTTCATGCAGTGTTCTCCAGGCTACAGGCACTCACGGAGTGGTGGCACTGGGCAGTGTGCCCGCCCCAGAGCGCAAAGCTGAGTTTCTCCGGGGCCCGAGAGTACCCACCCTGCCCAAGAGCTCCTGGCCTTTGTTAAGATCTACAGTGAGGCTCTCTCGGGCCAGCCTGGAGCTCCCGCCCCACTCCCGCCGGAGCCCCCTGAGGACCTGTAAGAAGATAGGCAGGAGTTGAAGAGGCTAAATTACGGCCCGGGGGACTTTTTAACAAAAACCCTAAATTTCATTTGGGCGACTGGTAGGCCACGCGGTTTCACAGAGTGAGCTGAGATCCCTTCCTCCCTACCCAGGCTTTGTGCCGCTCAGGCTAGAGGAACCTTGTCCCCCACATTTGCGAGGTGCCCCAGGGTCTGGCCGCCACAATCCCCCAGCATCTCCTCCAGCTCCCAATCCTCCGTTTTCTTTTTACGTCCTCCTGCCCTCCTCCCCAAGTCCCTCTTCCCTCTGGCTGGAGAAAAGTCGGTAATAAGAAACCAGTTCGGTGTCAGTCGGAGCGTGGGGATGGAAGAAACCTCCGCCCCCACCCCAAGATGCACGACCATGGAGAGAGAACTCATTTTGTGCAAAGAGGGCCTTAAGCCACCAGGGAATTCCTGGATTGTCTCAGGCTGTCGTGTGTGATGTCCATCACGCCGTGCGAACACCATCTGCTCCGTATTATGCTCGCAGTTGCCAGGCTACCTGCTGTACGCAGTAACACTTGACTGCCTGGCTCCACGTCCGCAGCGCCGGCCCTGACGGGGCGGGGGACCGAGGCCTGATTAAGCCATCTGCGGTGGGCGGGGGGCGCGGGCTCAGCGCGAGGCCTGGAGTGCGGTCCCGGGCTCACACCACCATCTGCTGGCTGCCGGCTGAACAGCAGCTGCTCAAGAGGGTCCCCCTCGGGGCCGCCTAGAAAAGACTGAAGCCCAGGGGCCTCCTGGATCCAGGTACCCAGGATGTCGCATCCTGTCCCTCCCAGGAACCCATGATCTTCCCTACCCGCCGCATCTCTGGCCACTATCACCCAAACGCTGCGTGTTCTTGAGAATAATAATAATAATAATCCCTTCAGAGAAAGCAAGTTTCCCCACAAGTGGGTTTATAAATAAACAGCTGGCTGTTCTCGGAAGATATTTTTATCGCCTCTGATTTTTGAAGTCGGAAACTGCCTCTTTGGGGGAGGTTAGAGTGTTTTTTACATCCTCCCACCTCACTCGAGCCGAGCCGTTAGAAAGTTGTTAAGCTCTTGTCCCTGGAGCGGAAGGTATGCATGTGTAAGATGCGTTCTCTGGTTTTGATCTCTTTTTTTTCCTCCCCCCTATTTTACTGAAGAGTGAGTGTTTAGAGAGGCACGAAGATCTGCGTAGCAAATTGGATGCGACGGGAAGCGAGTGTATTAAGATTCTGGGGTGGAAAGCAAGGGAGGTCGCTGGGCTGGGAGTGGAGAACAAACCAGTAATTAAAACTAAAAATACTGCATCATTTGGCTCCCAGGCATTGCATGTCGCGTGACGAAAGCTCACTCTGGTTTTCTCTAATTGCACAACGCAGTGTGTCCCCCTCCTTAGAAACAAGAGCAGGGACTTGGAATCCTCGAATTTGACAGGCTCTTTCTCATTAAGCCCACTTAGAGTCGGGGTTAAAAGAAGCCATGTGTCATAAACAGCCAAACAACCGCCCACGGCAGCTTGGTTTGGGAAGCCAGTCACGGTGTGCTTTCACACTCTGGGACGCACACCTGTGTGCTGCTTGCTGGGAAGCCCCTAAAGATGTTGCCTTTGGAGGGCTATATTCTAGCCATTGGGTCTTGTTGTCTGCATGGAGAACCCTAAGAACTTTGGGGACAGGACCATTTGGGGGATGGAAGTAACCCCGGAGGTGATACCTTCACTGTGTCCACAGGGACAAAATGTGGCTGGCAGGCTGAACATCATCACCTTATTTGCCTCACGTGTTTTCCCAGGGGAGCGAAGGCTGGGAAATCAGGTCCTCCACTCCAGGGTCCATTCCTCGGCTGTGCAGGGGGTCACAGGGGCAATAAAATCCCAAAGTGAAGGAAGAGAAACAAGGCCCTGAGGGCCACCCTTTGACAAACAAGCTAAAGAAAGTGTTGTCTTTTCTTCGGTCACATTTCCCCTTCAGATCTCTTCATCAAAACCAGGAAATATTAAATAGACTGAAATGCATGAAAGAAAAACTATTATCTGCCCTTCTGCCAGTTGGCCAGCTCCACTCAAGTGTTAGCTCGTTTGTGAAAGTGTTAAGTTGGTCAGCCATTTGTCTCTCAAGGTGTCAAGAAACGACTTGATCCTGAAGGAAGAAGGGCTTAGAGACACGTAGCCAGACCTGGAAGGTAGATCCCCACAGCCATGCCAAGCACCTATCTTTCAGCATAAGGCCTTTCATTGACATTAAAAATATCTCATAGCTCTCAACCTTATTATAGAGAACACGCATAAATAAAAAGCAGGTATCGTGGATTATTGAGATGGCTCAGCAGTTAGGAGTTAAGCGGATCTTCTCAGGCCAGAATTTTGTTCCCAGCACCCACATCAGGAGGCTCACAGCTGCCCGTAACTCCAGATCCAAGGGATCCAACGCCCTCTTCGAACCTCTGTGGGTGTTGGTACATAGGAGCACGTATAGACACATAATTTAGCTAGCACAACACGGTATTTTTATGAGCAACATATTTCATATTTAGTCTACAAGCTGTTCTAATATCTGTGCTTGACACTCTTCAGAGAAGGCCAGAGTGGGAAGAATATTTGACGTAGACTCAAAGTCAGCACCCCGGTTCTCTTATGGCCTGTCCTGTTACTGGGGCAGCCTGAACCACACAAACGAACCATAGCTCCCTCGGCCCCTGTTTCTGGGGCAATAGAACTGGTACATTTTGTTTGGATGCAGGGAGGCAGAGAGTCTAGAGATGCAGTGTAGGGGGAGCCCTGCCAGGAAGGACCACCTGCCTGGGTCGGCACCGGGAGGGCCAGCCAAGCCAGGATTGTGGGGAATCAACCCCACACTGGCCTTAGAGAGGCAAACATAAGCCTCTCTACATGTCTGTATTTTGGGATAAAATTGCCAGCACGATCAACCGCATCTATATTAAAACAGTAGCGACTCTAAAGCAGAGGCTATATGAAAGTCCAGTTTGGATTATACCTTAAAATAATGGTGGCTATTCCCAGTGATTTCTCTTATTAGGCCCCATGAGACTGTCTTACGGTAGAGCAACTCCTCTCCTTATGTGAGTGCCATTACCGTGGCGTGTCTCTGTGCTCAGATTAGTTGCTTGACGCCAGTGAACTGGAAAGACTGTTTCCACAGAGCGTTCAGACAGCATTTGCCATTGCCAGGGTGTCGATAGAAGTGTCTAGAAACCGAATTTTGTGTCTGCAAACCTTCTGTGCCCGTTAGCTTTCTCCCGCTGGTAGTAGCCACTGTCCAGCTACATAGACATCCCTTCTGGGAGCATTTTCCAGATAGCCCCTGGGCTCTGTGGGATTAGCCATTTGCCCCATTAACTCTCTTCCCTAGGGGCCGGTCCCTAAACGTTACTGCCAGCTCTCTGACAAGTAATTATAGAATCAAGAGTCCCCGTCCAGGCCCCAGTGCTGAAATTGTCCCGGACATATGAGACGCAATTCTATTTTTAAAGAGATTGGGAGATTACATTGCTTTTTAAAATGTTTTCCTTTCACTTCATATATATTCATATATATATATATATATATATATATATATATATATATATATAGTGCTTTGATCACATTTCCTTGCCATTATCCTCTCATGTCCTTATGTCCTTCCCCCTCCAAATGAACCCCTTTCTCCTCCAAAGAAATCCCTCTTTTAAGATTATATAGCTTTGGCTGGGTGTGGTGGCGCACACCTTTAATCCAGCACTCAGAAGACAGAGGCAAGTGGATCTCTTGAGTTCAAGGTCAACCTGGTCTATTGAGTGAGTTCCAGAACAGAACAGCTAAGGTTACAGGGTTACAAAGAACCTTGTCTCAAAAAAACAACAACAAACACAAACAAAAAACAGACCGAAAAGATCAAAGTTACATAACTTTGATCAAGATAAAACATTCCAGTTCCTACTATCAAAAGCCTGACAGAATTTAAAATGGACACGCAGGCGCACATGTGAACGCGCTCACTCATACACGTACGAAAGCTGGTGTTTTGGTTCGATAAACTAACATCCAGCATCAAGTCTGTTTGTTACTGTGCTCCGGCAGTATGTGTCTTCTTGTATGTCACTCCTGTCTACTAAGATGTCCATTGTAGCAACGTAGACTGGAAGAGGTAGGGTTATCAGGAAAGGCAGGGATGGATGTTGCCTTTGAGACTTACGGTGAGCCCAGCCTGAGGCTGTAGTTCCCTTCTTTAGAGAAATCGAGTGTCGAAATCCCAGTGCACAGCCACCATGACATCCCATCAGAAGCAGACCCACTCTCTGTTACTGTTCCCCGCCTCTGTGGCCTCTCCAGTTCTGCTATGGTGAGGCCTGCGCGATGGTTTTTATGCAGGATTACAAGATGGTTTTCTGGCGGTATAATGGGTACCCCTCAGGACCCCTAGAATCCCCAAACTAGGACCCCGTTCCCCTCAAGAGAAATTTCCCATGAAATAACAGGAAGCGTCCCAGCAGAATTTCTAAATTGCTTTCTTCTGGTCCTTCTAGGAGCAGCATGCAGCTGGTCTTCCCAGGACCGCGGGCCCCATGCAGAACTCTGTGCCGCCGCCGGGGTCGAGCAGCATGGTCTCAGGAGCCAGTCCTGGGGGGCTTGGCTTTCTAGGGGGCCAGCCACAGGCAGCCATCATGAAGCAGATGCTAATGGACCAACGAGCCCAGCTGATGGAGCATCAGAAGCAACAGTTCCTTCGGGAGCAGAGGCAGCAGCAGCAGCAGATCCTGGCTGAGCAGGTAGGTGACACCCTCCCTACAAGGTGTTAGCCATCAATTCAGCGAGCACTTACTTGGCCCCTGCTGTTTGTGAGGAAGGCATCTTGTCCCTGTTTAGATGCTCATAGACCAGTCTTTCACAGAAGCCTAGAAGAACCTGTGGAAGTTACGCCTTTTCAATTAGCTAGGCATCATTAATTAGTTTTTTCTTTAAAGACAGGCTTTAACCATCAATCTGAAGGCCTGTTTCCTGAAGACAATTCTTCCATCCATACCAACCCCCTTCCTCCTGATTTTTGGTACAGGGGTCTTTATAATCAGCCTGTAGTGGGGGCTAGCTCACAGCTACCACAGGCCTTGATATTGCTAGTAGCAAGCTAAATAATAATAATACAAATAATACATGAGCTAGGGAAGGTAGTTCTGTTGGTAAGGGGCTTGCCATGCAAGCAGAAGGACCTTGGTTTACCTGCGGAACCTGTGGAAAAAGCCAGGCATGGTGGTATTCCATCTTTGTTCCAGCACTGGGGAGGTGGATCCATGGGGTGTGCTAGCCAGGTCCTGTCTCACAAAACAAGGTAGATGGTCCCTGAAGAATGAAACTCAGGGTTGATTCTCTCTCTCTCTCTCTCTCTCTCTCTCTCTCTCTCTCTCTCTCTCTCCCTCTCCCTCTCCCTCTCCCTCTCTCTCTCTCTCACTCTTTCTCTCTCTCTCTCTCACACACACACTTATAAAACAAGGTGAATGGCCCCTAAGGAATGAATCTGGGGATGGATCTCTCTCTCTCTCTCTCCCTCTCCCTCTCCCTCTCCCTCTCCCTCTCCCTCTCCCCCTCCCCCTCCCCCTCCCCCTCCCCCCCCCCTCTCTCTCTCTCTCACACACACACACACACACACACACACACACACCAAAATAAAATAAAATAAAAACAAATTGTTCAGAAAGAAAGAGTGGAGAATTCTACTGGAATGGTAGCCTGGTGATATTACAACAAGGTGGAGAACTCTCTGGAAACTTGGACAGAGTTGAGGAGCGGGTGCAACTGGAGAAAGTCCCAACACCTTTCCCTATAGCTCAGGCCCTCTGTGAGTCAAAGGAAGGCCTAGTACAAACATGCCCTTACCCTCGGCCACCTCGTGGGCCCCAGCCATATAACTCCTCCAGCTCTGGAAGAAAGCCTTCCCTGCAGACTGCCCCTGTAGGCTTTGATTTGTTTTGTTTACAGAGACGCTGGTGCCCTGATTTAGTGTTATCCCAAGGAATTGCCTAGGACTGTCCACAGGAGATCCCCTGATGGCCCCTGTGCGCGTCTCGTAAGGCAGGCAGGCTCTGTATCACAGGTGCAATGGCTCTTGCTCATTCTCGCTCCTAATAGAATTAGAATTTTGGAATTTCCTCTTCAAGGCGCTGAGTAGGACACAGGCTCATCAAGGTCCCTACCCACCAGGAGCAGCAGTCACAACCACCAAAGAGAAAAAGGTGTCCTGTTGAGTGGCGCGTGCTAATGTTCCTCGTTTTTTGCTTTTGTTCCCGAGCAGCTATGCAATTATCTCCCTTTTTACCAAGGTCAGCCGGCCACCTGGCAGCCATTGTACAAACAACCCTCTATCCCGCTCACCCCGCATAAGGTGTGTGACAAGGAGGTGCGCTAATATCTCCCCAGCAGTGATGGATGGAGCAGCTAAGGGACTCTGGGCTTTGTAAATCTCTCCTCCACCAAACCCAGGACATTTTCAGGTGTGCCTGGTGCCCTGAGAAATGATTTCTGATATGCGTGCGGCAGCCAAGGCCCAGAAGGAGGCAGGGTGGCCAGGCAGAACTCATCTGTACCCACCCAGGGGTGTGCTCACAAGTCACAGCGCAGTCCACTCGGCCGAGTCCTGGGGAAGGAATGAAAGGGAAGGGGAAGATTGCAGGAAGAGCTGTGTCAGACCCTTGCCTGTGGGCAGGGAGACAGAAAGCACTCAGAACTGTGGCGAGGTGGGACTCCCTGGAAAACACGGAGGAAGCAGAAAACTGAGTTGCCTTAGCAGCTAGAGGCACAAATTAGGAGTTGAAACCGCTCCACTCAGGGTCAGGACTCTGTTCTTCCGCAGTTAATGTGATTTTGAACAAATAAATAAATCAAGTAAGGCTGAAGAGATGGATAAAATGCTCGCTATAGAAGCATGAAGATGTGCATTTAATACCAGGTGTGTTATTATAATATATAATATGATAATACAGCACCCATCTGGAATCACAACATTCCTACAGTGGGGCGGGGGAACACGTGAACCCTCAGAAGCTACCAGGTCAGCTAGCTGGCATATTGAAGCAAGCAAGAGACCCTATCTCAAACAAGATAGGAGGTGAAGATGAATATCAGAGGTTGTCCTGTCCTGTCCCCATTAGTGCCTTGGCACACACCACACACATGTATATGTTCATGTGTGTGTCTGTGTGTGTGTGTGTGTGTGTGTGCGAGCACACGCAAGCACATGCATAATTAAAAAAAAAACAGCCTGTCTTTATCTAGCAGGTTAGGTTTACGTAATTTCCTGTCTTAAAGATGACTTGAAATAATGGCCTGCCAACTCCATAGGAAAACCGTGTGCCCAGATGTAATGGGAATGGCTCATAGGACACACGACAGCATCAGGGATTGTTGTAGAAAAGCTACGGCCGCGTGTGCCGCCCACGTCAATGTAACGTCTTGCCTGCCTGGGCCCTGTGTGTTGATGATGAGGTGCAGGTGATTTGAGCTGCTCAGTGGGATGGTCTTGGCTTTCTCCTTTGAGATTTGTTCCCTGTTGTAGTTGGCAATGCTGCGAATGGGACTCAGAGCCTCACACGTGTGAGGCAAGTGTTCTGTGCAGAGCTGCACCCCAGCCCTGAGAGTAAATTTGACTGACACATCAGCAAATCTGTGATTTTCCTCAGTCTCTGCATAGTAAGCATGCCCCGGTGCCTTCAGTTCTGGGAATGGTATATTGGAAACACTCGTGTTTCCTGAAAGTCCGTGGGAGGGGGTCACAGGGGTTTGAGATCCTGCCTGTCTTCAGGAACTCAGCTGACCTGGCAAGCAGAGCGAGAAGGTTCAAAGCAGGTGGGGACTGAGGCTAACCCCTGGTTCTCGGCAAGCACCTAGCGTGTCCCTCTCCCCCACTCAGCACGGGTTGAACAGAACTTCCCGGTTGAGGTTCCAGGCAAGGGGTCGTGATAATGACGTCCCATCGTTTACAGGTGGGAAGACTGAAGCTGGGGAGGAGCTCCTGTGGTTGGAGACCACAGACTTAGAACAAGGTCGAGCCAAGCCTGATGCCGGGCCACACCCTAACCTGAGGCAGACGTATTCCTCCCTGTAAATGAGGCCAGAAACCTTGTAGACTGTATAGAAAATCTGACAAGTGTGTGTGTGTGTGTGTGTGTGTACGCGCACGTGTGTGTGTGCATGCGCGCGCGTGTATGTGTGTGTGTTTTACACGTAGAGGCCATGGATCAACCACAGATAGCATTCTTCTGGCACGCTCCACATTGTTTATTAACACAGGGTCTCTCCAGGCCTGGAGCTTTTGAAGTAGGTTAGACTGTTTGACCAGAGAACGGCCTGCTTCTGCCTCCCCAGCCCTGAGTTTACACCATGGCTGCTTAAAAAAACAAAAACAAAACAGAAACAAAAACCTGAGCTCTAGGACTCAAACTCAGGGCCTTGGCTTCTGAGGCAGTTAATTGTTTTGCTGACTCAGCTATCTCCCCAGAAACTTTTGAAAGCTCAACTCGCTCTCAATAATGTCCTTGCGTTATTGCCTGAAAGGGTGGCATGGTCTCTGGCCTACGCTCATAATGGTCTATGCATTGATTAATCTCTTTTGTGTAGAATCCTACGGTAGACACACAGGCTGGGGTCAACAGGCCAGAGGCTGTTTCTGGCTAGGTTTTTTCCCCCTTTGGATGCCAGAATGCTGGCTGGCCTTTAGAGGAAAAGAAAGAAAAATGGAAAATTACAGACCTGCCCAGGAACAAACTTGAGAGAGAAAATAGAAGAAGACACATGTGGTAAGAAGTAGCCCGTGAGTGTTATTTTTATAACGAACACTCTAAAGAGCAGGGATCTGGTTGCATGTTCTCTTAGTCCTCACAGATGAGAAGTACTTAGTGAATATTCAGCAGCTGCCGGAAAGAGGTTAAGTGGCCTCTAAGGTCACATGGGTACTTGATGGTCAACCAAGAACTCAAAGCCTCCGTCCCTGCTCTTTCCCCTTGCCCTGTGTCTCTCCCCCTTTGCACATGGAAAAGATCGAAACAGCCTGCCCAGGGTTGGTAACTACGCTTCTAGCACAGACTCCCCCTGCGGCAAAGAAGACTAAAAGGTGGGCCTCCGCCTCCTAGAACACGTGGAATCTTACTATTGGCTTTCAGAGCAGCAAACTCAGAGGGGTTTTTTGCTTGTTTGTTTTTTAGCTTTTTGAGACAGGGTTTCTCAGTGTAGCCTTGGCCGTCCTAGAACTCACTTTGTAGACCAGGCTGCCCTCAAACTCACAGAGATCCACCCGCTTCTGCCTCTCAAGTGCTAGGATTGAAGCGTGTGCCACCCTGCCTAGCCAAATTCAGAGTATTTTACTTGTAGACATGTACCGTACAGGTGATGTGACTTCATGGGAATAAGATTCGTGTGTGTGTGTGTGTGTGTGTGTGTGTGTGTGTGTGTGCGTCTCAAGGAGCCTATTTTCCTGTGCCCATAGCATCTACTTAGGTCATTAAAAAGTCATTGCTTGTTCCTTTGAGCCAGGTCCCCATAGTGCTAAGGAGAGCAGTCAGGCTGATACTGGAAAAATCAAAATTAAAATTGCTTCAGTTGGTACGTGAGACAGCAGGGTAAACACCAGAAATTCAAGGACACATTGGCAGAGACTATGTCACAGCAGCTCTAGCTGCCGCAGCCCCAGACCAGCGACCCCCTAAATGGCTGTCTCTAGCAGAATAAGTAAGCTGTGGTCCGGTTATATGGTAGACTCCTAGGCAGTGGCGAAGATGAGCCGAACATCTCAGCGTGAAGGAATCCATCTTCTGAGAAATGGAAACCATCAAGCTCCGAGTCCTTACTGTAACCCTCGGGTTCAGGGAAGTACAGACTCCGTGAAGAGTAGTCCCTGTGGGTCAAAGTTTAGCTAATGGAGCTCTCGGTCAAGAGAGAGGATTGACGGGAGCTTCTGGCGGCGTCCTTTTCTGGAGTTTAGGGTGGGACTAGTTTTCTTGGTGTTTCCACATCATAAAAATCTGCTCACCCGTTCACTTTCTGCAGCCCTTGCCTGCATGCAGGTTGTTTTCCCACACAAACTTTAGTTTGGGGAAACAATAATATACCGCCTTCGTCAAAGCTGGCAGGCACTCAACCGTGTGCTGTCGCGTCTCACCTCCGCTTCTCTTGTCTTCTGTCGTTCTAGCAGTTACAGCAGTCACACCTGCCCCGCCAGCACCTCCAGCAGCAGCGGACACCATACCCAGTGCAGCAGGTCAATCAGTTCCAAGGTGAGGCCACTGGGTATCTCCTGGCCCTGACTCCCCCACGGGTCTGCGGCCAGTGAATTGCTTTGCACGCTCTCTTTATATCCGGGTAGCAACCAGCTAACCGAATAACTGGCAAACTAAAAGAAGCAACCCTCAAGGATTCCTGGAGGACCCCTGTGATGCCTGCTGATCCTTGGTGGTCACAGAGAAGTTCCAGTCAGCTCACGGTGAAGTGGAGTAGCAAGACTCAGACCGCTCTGCTTTGTAGAGGCTACAAAGTATTTTGATTGTTGAGCAACCTTAGCAAGCTAGCGCTTGTCGGCCCCAATATCAGTCTTGTTTGCATGACTAGACAGTCATCTTAGTGACAGAGAGGAGGAGAAGGGAGGAGGAGGGAGGGACAAGAAGGGGCATGGGGTGCGGAATGATTCCCAATCCAAAACAGTGAGCTTTGCTACAGAAAGACGTGAGATTCTTTGCCAAGTAACAAGAGACAGGATGGCTTCTTTTTCTGGCTGTTGGACATGAAAGCTCATAGAGACCTACAAAGTGGATCTAAAATCTGTCTCGTTGGCCAGATGGCTTGTAAGCAGCGGTAATGACCTTCTACCCCCAATCCTACTCAAGTCCTAAAGGGGAAAAAACAGTCAAATGGGGACTTCATTGAATGGATTCTCTACTAAACTGAATTCCACTGCATACAGAGAATATGCAAGGAACAGACATTATTTATTCTTCTTCCTCCTCTCCTCTTCTTCATCCCCCTCCCCCTTGCTGATACAGAATCCCGCTATATACTTCCAGCCAACCTGGAGTTCGCTGTGTGGCCCAGGCTTGCATTCACAATCCTCACGCCTCCCTGTCCTCCAGGTTGATAGGCTTACAGACATCTGCCACCACCCTCAATTTAGCCCATGGTACATACCCAAAGAGATGGTATCCCACTGACTTGATGGCATAAAACCCAAAATAGGAAATGACTTGCCTCTGAACATGAACAAACAGAACACGGGGGCATGACCTCAATTTTCTGTCTCTATTTAAATATAAATAAGAGTTGGCAGGGATCGTCTCTGGATGCTGGGATTCGGGTGACTTTAATTTCTGACTTTATACTTTTCAATACTTGGCAAAATTTTCACAACTCACATGTTATAACCATGTAAGTAATGACCTTTTATGAAGATTTATTGTTGCAGCAGATCCTTTCCTATACAGGGCTGTCATTCCCAAGGAAGAGTCCAAGAACACCTTGCAAGATCCTGACAGAGAATTGCAGGTAATGGCTGTCCTTTCTCTCCATGTAGGTTCACCCCAGGATATAGCGGCCGTGAGAAACCAGGCAGCCCTCCAGAACATGCGGACATCAAGGTTGATGGCACAGAATGCAGGCATGATGGGAATGGGACCCTCCCAGAACCCAGGGACTATGACCACAGCAGCAGCCCCGTCAGAAATAGGACTGACCCCTTATAGTGCCCCTCCACCCAACCAACCCGGAATGTACAACATGAGCACAGGAATGACCCAAATGTTGCAGCACCCGAACCAAAGTGGCATGAGCGTCCCACACAGCCAAGCCCAGGGACCCAGGCAGCCTGCCTCTGGCCAAGGAGTGGGCTTGGTGAGCGGCTTTGGTCAGAGCATGCTGGTGAACTCGGCTCTGACCCAGCAGCACCAGCCGTTGAAAGGACCCGTGGGCCAGGCCTTGCCGAGGCCCCAAGGCCCACCAAGGCTTCAGAGTGTCATGGGAACCATCCAGCAAGGAGCGCAGAACTGGCAACAAAGGGGCCTGCAGGGAGTGCCGGGGAGGACTAGTGGAGAGTTGGGACCATTCAACAATGGCGCCAGCTACCCGCTCCAAGCTGGTCAGCCAAGACTGGCGAAACAACACTTCCCACAGGGACTGAGCCAGTCAGTCATGGACGCTAACGCCGGCGCAGTGAGAACCCTCAATCCAGCGGCTATGGGCCGTCCGATGATGCCACCACTTGCAGGGCAGCAAGGTCCCAGTCAAGTGAGGCCGTTGGTCATGTCTGGTCTGAACCAGGGTGTCCCTGGCATGGCGGCATTCAGCCAGCCCCCAGCCCAGCAGCAGATAGCGGGCGGCACCTTTGCCGCGAGCAACCAGGGCCAGGCCTACGAGCGGAACCCCGCTCAGGACATGTCCTACAATTATAGCGGTGAGGGTGCTGGGGCTTCGTTCCCTGGCCTCCCGGACAGTACAGACCTGGTGGACTCCATCATCAAAAGTGGCCCGGGGGATGAGTGGATGCAAGAACTTGATGAACTCTTCAGTAACCCCTAGTCGGGAGGGGTCCGAGAGCTGTAGTGGCGGAAGCCTCGCAGGCGGGAAAGAAACAGGATGGTGCCCCATCCTTGTTTTTTGTTTTTTTGACCCACGTAAACCGAGAAAACGACAGCCGGCTGACAGTAGAGAAGGTATGGGTGCCAACCCCCAGCTCCATGGGGCTTCATTCCACCTGCCTTCCACAGAGCAACCAAGTAGAGAGGTCATGCGGATACCTGCGTGCAGAGAAGAGATGTGGGGAGCAGGGGAGTAAGTCGAGGCAGCAAGAGTTCCTCTGCTAAGCACCCCGGGACCCACTGGTCCAGAAAGAGTCGTTCCGACCCAAAGAGGGACCGTGGCCCAAGATGAGGTCCCCTCAGACCTGCCTGCCTCAGTTCCCGAGACCTCGGAGATGGAGCCTCAGCCAGAGGAAGCCCAGCCGGAGGATGCTGGGAGACACACAGGCAGTGTGCATAGGTCAGAAACCCTCTGAATGCTGGATGGAAGGAGATGTCTACTTCCAGACGTGTTCCTGGATATGGAGGCAGGCATGAAGAACAGTGGACTCGCCTGAGCTGGCCCAAGGGAGACAAGCAAGGGTCCTGCAGGGCTATCTGTCTCCTGCCCAGCGATGACCCTCAGGAATGGTAAGGTGTTACTGCCAGCCCCCTCACCAGGATTGACAACTATACTTGAGAAGGGCCCAACTGGTAGCCCTGAAGGTCAACTTCTGCCAGTGGCCATGGTGGCCATCGCTCTAGGTTGGGCTGAGCTTCCTGGAGGCCCCATCTGATTCGACGTATCTGTTTTCATCTGTTTGTGATCATAGCGTGGAGAGGCCCCTGCTGGATTCAGTGTCTGCCAGCCCAGCCCCTTCCTCCCTCACCACTGTCTCTAGTCCTGGCCTCTGTGCCAGCCTGCCTTTACTTCTCCCTACAGGAAGGGAAGCCCTGGGGCAAAGTCAAAGGAAGTACAAGAAGAATTTCGACAGTGTCTGGCTTACGGAGATCTGCGCAGGAGCCAAGTGGGCCGCACTGATAAAAAGCTGCAGGTTTATGCGTTATACCCACGCTTCAGATATCCCCAGGGAAGAATGGCCTGGCGTCCTTTCAGATGATGCCAACAATGACGCTCCAGAATCAACCCCATCATCAGAAAGGCAAATATCAAATGCTAGAGATGGAAAAGCTGAAAACTCATAACTCCACCTTAACCAGTTCAGACGCTAAAGAGAGGGAGATGCGGCCCCCATCTTGAAGGCTGTGCCGCTGTCTTCTTGGTAGCGCACATACATGCCCGACGTGAAAACTAAGAAGGAATTAACAACCTCTGTGGTCACAAGCCTTGTCTCTCGCTCTGTACCTCCCCTCCCACAAGCCCATCTTGGAGGTCAGATGGCATTTTCCCATGGTGTTGCACACACACACACACACATCCCACAAACTGGCTTCCTTCTCTGTCTTCATGTCCATCTCACTCCAGAAGACAGGAGCCTGTGGAGACTGTACCAGCCATACCCAAGAACATCCCGAGAAGGTGTAGAAGGCTGCCGTGGAGCACTGTGGCTCTGGTCTCCGTACCACGAGAGTTCCAGACCTGCTCTGCCAGGAAGTAAAGCCAGAGGCACCAGGGTGAGGAGCTGTGCGCCTCTCCAAAACTCCCAGAATTGGGGGGTGGGGTACTGCCGCTAGGGAAACTGAGTGGAGACACGTGGAAACCAAAAAATAATTTTAAAAAAGTAGTAACGTGAGAAATCAGAATACAGGTGTATCACCTTTTCCTGCCAGGTTACAGGAAAGAAATATATAAGCAATGAGGAGAAACTGGAGGTGGAGAGAGTGGGAGCCATTGTCCTTGGAAAGCCTCCAACAAGTGCTCAGCCTGAGGACCAACTAATATGGTAGATTTTAATGAGGTCATTTTGTTTTGTTTTTACTACGGTGCTGATGTATATGTAATGTCTAAAAAAAAAGAAGTTATTTGTACATAAGTTTTTACAATGCTACAGATATCACTGGGTCTACTATATGTAAAAAGTATACATATAAATATATATATATATAATGTTTGTTTAAAATAGAGTATTTTTATTTCCCCCCAACTCATCATCGAAGAGGTGGTGTTAACTTCGGGTGATGTCTAATTCCTGGTTTATACCGTATGACCTATTGGCAACTTCCTCCATTTTATCCAGATTTTTCTAGTTTTCTGTTTTTACTTTGTCCATCAAGCACCCTTTAAGGAGTGTGCAGAACTCTGGAATTTAGAAGCGAAGCGATGCTGACACACCACTTTTAAAGACAAAACAGCCCACGGAAATCAGATGTCACTCTCTGAGTCAATCCATAGCATAGCTCGCTTTGGGATCCCCTCTCTGGCCCAGCCCCAGTTACTCAGATGTATCATTCTCGGGTTTTAGTGGAGTAACTGAAGATTCCTTTTTCGGCATTGTGGTGTCGTTATTTAAACAATGATTTAACAGTAGAAATCAATCACTCTCGAGCCTTTTTAGTTTAACCACGCCACTGAGACTTTCTGAATTTGCTAGAGTACCCTGAGGGGTGTGGCGGAAGGGAGAGGGGTCTGACGTGAAGAAGTCTGTTTATAGATCCAGGGCCAGAATGATTCAAAATTAGCTCAGCCCGAGCATTCAGAAAATAGCGGGGCCAGTGGAATGACGCCAGAGGGGAAAGGCGCTTGCCACCAAGCCTGGAGACTTGGGTTCGATCCCTGGAACCCACAGGATGGGAGGAAAACTGACTCCCACAAATGGTCCTTTGTCCTCTAGATGAGCCCCCTGTGACTCAAGTGCGCATGCGCACATGTGCGCAGGCGGGCAGGCACGTGCACACGCACGCGCACATACACAAATGTATAAAAATATAATGAAGAGAAAATGGATAGTAAAAAATTGATGGAAATATTTGGACTGTATTGGGAGGAAACAATTCGGTAGCCTTGCTCTCTGTAGCGGGCAATTTTGACACCCGCACTTCTCCGCGTCCCGTTTCTGCTAGCCCACTGTGCCTCTGTCAACGCAGGGTCTGACCCAGCTTTCCCCGTACCTACCGTGAGCTGAAAATGCTTCAGGCTTATCCTCCTCTAAGTCCAGCCAGTAGCTCACTAGTACGGGATAATAAAAGGCCAGTGAACAAACTGCAGGATCACGCAGAGGCTGGGCCTTGGAGGCTGGGGCATGGCTGCCACTTGCTCCCTTGCTTGATTTCTTCCCATCTTCCACCCGTTGCCCCACTTTCTTTTCCCCCCTCTTCCTTCAGGCCCGTCATTAACATATTGCATACATGGGAATCCATTTCTCCACTTCGAGAAGACCCGCCCTTAAGATATGCCCATTAAACTTAAAACATAGTAAAATGGCATTATTTTCAAAACTCTTGAGTTAAGCAGATAATAGACCACAGAGAAACATCACCAGTAGAAACGGTTCCAAAACAAAGATGAGTTTTAATATACATGAGCCAGGAGAAAGAATGAACCCCACCGTGGAAGGAGAGGCTAGCCCTGCCCACCGTGGGCTGTGCTTCCAGGCTGGCTCACAGTGCTGTGGAGGAAGTAGCCTGCCGCTGGCTGCCCCTGTAGAGCTCAGACTCTGCCAGATAACCGGGTGGTAAAAGTGGATCTGGTTTGGTTGGAAGGAGGATGAGAGCGGGAATTGACGACAGGGTAAAACCATGACGCTCTGAGAGGGATGATGCTCCTCACTTTAAAGTTTATACTGAAATCTGTTGGGCGCCGGATCTCGAATGGGATACCTTTCTTCTTAAGAAAAATAAATAAATCTATAATTTTATTAAGATAAAACTGAATGTGTGGTATGCAGTTCATGTTCAACCATTTTCACAGGTGCCTACCATGGGCCTAAGAGGATTCTACGAAGTGATTGTAGATGCCAGTCCAGACGATGCCCAGAACTGATGGCTCTAGGGAGTCAGGACAGGATTGGGGGTGGGGCCAGGATTCAACTGACTCATAAGATTTCTGTATGTCAAGGACCAAGGTGAAAGCTTGTCTCCTGAGACCAGGGCATTTGAAAACATTCGACCCATGAACAGTAACAAGCACGGTTGCCATTCTCCCCTTCCTGTAGCAGCAACCACCCCGGGCACTATAAACACTCTTCCCTCTGTCACCTATATTGCTGGCATGGCAACTGTCACTGGCACCGCGAGTCTACCTTTTCCTTCCAATGTGTGGTTCATATCCAGAGCAGCTATGCCTGAGGGGACAAAGAGGCAACGGTTCTAGATTTCCCGGAAGTCACTGGGCACATGAGACACGTGTAGCTTCTTCGTGGATTACGGAACGTTCCCAGACTCAGGTGAGTTGTCTCAAGGACTGTGTCTGAGAAAGGCAGAGGGGAGGTGGGGGCAGGGGACAAATGGGGTCATCTTTTTCTCATTAGTGATATTTTGATATAAGCTTTTGAAAACAAAGCTTCCTGGGAAGGAACAAGACTATGGCATGTGACCTATGGCTTACTTTCTGGCTTCTGTTTGATTTATTGTCTTCCTCTCTCTCTCTCTCTCTCTCTCTCTCTCTCTTCTCTCCTCTCCTTTCCTCTCCTCTCCCCATCTCTCTTTTGTTCAGTTCAAAGAGCATGAGATTCTTACCCTGATACTCTCTATGGCCCATCTCACTTCCAAGGGCAAGCAGGAGGAATTACTGCAGCTCCCTCGTGTCCCCGCCCATGCACTGGCCACCAGGGACAGACCAACCCTAATGGGTTCAGCAAAGTCACCATGTCCCCCATCACGTCTCTCGCACAGAACAAAAGAAACTTCCCAGCTATGGAAAGCCTGCATTGTTTGTTTGCTTGTTTCAGCTTCTCTTTAAGAGTTTAAAACTTTGAACACCTCCAAACCATCGGGGAAGCAGAAAGGGTGTCTCCACGGTCATCAGATCAGTTTAACCGTGTTTAATATGCAGAATTTGGGGTTTTTTTCAAAGCAAATCACGTGCCTGTGACTACTCCCCTGCCCCCTCCAGCAGCACTTCAGCATGCAGTGGTAGAGAACATTCTCGGCCCTAACCACGGTGTCATTAAAACAACAGTTAGCACGTGTTCCCTCGTGGTTTGTAGTCTCATTCCACATCACATCCAGGTGCTAGCAGTCATCTCTCAAAGGTCTCTCTGTCCAGGATTTATCAAGGCTCTCGCTACCCTTCGGCCTGCTCTTCTTGTGACACGTCTCTAGTACATGAAGGGGCTCCTCCTCTGCCCCTCTTCTCGTGACATGGTTTTCAGGCAACAAATCCGACTTCTAAGTGTAAAATGGGTCAGATTTACTCATCAAAACATGTTTGTACAACTGTCAGGCTAAGCAGACAGTGCCTGCCCAGCGCTGGGAAGGTTGGGGCAGATGGATCAGAAAATCAAGGACCCTGTCTCAACAACAACACAAAACCAGCCTTTTGGCCAGAAACAAATGGAATCTACTGTGGAGGAGGCCGGCTCTACCCAGAGTCTTAGGGCCCAATTTAGTAGTGATTAAAATAATGAAGAAGTTTTCCAGTGGCAATGGAGTAGAGTAAAAACAAACCCCTGTTTCCACATGTGTTTAACCATCCGTGTGCATGGGTGTACATGTGTGTGCATGAGCATACTCAAGTTAAATACAAAATATTTTGAGATAGTGAAAGTTTGGGAAAGTTTTTTTTTTCTTCTTCCAAATGACGTGTAAATGCAGTAAATATGATGTAAGGCTAAAAAAAAAATTATACGTAGCTTGACATTTTAAAGGATTTGCCCTATGAGAAAATGAAGCTCAGAGCTGCCGAGGGCTGGGGTCCTATGCTGTGTCCAGCAGGTGGCAGGACAGACAATGGTCTTGTGGCCCTGGAGTGCTCTGTATCTGCCATACGACTTCCCACTGAGGGATACCTTGTCCACAGTCAGTCACCTAGCAATGGGGGAATGGGACTTAAGTCCAAATATCCCCTTTTCAAGGCAATGCCTTGTGCTTTAGGGTGTCCACTGCAGTCCAGGCAATTGTTAGCTCCTCCTGCTATTCTGGAAGGGCTGTCACTTCTTTCTTGTCTATTATTCATATTCCAACACAGTAATGGGCATCTGGAGGGTGCCGATGCCCAGCTGACAGGGGACTCTGTCCAGTGGAGGAGCCTGGTCCTCCCTTCCTAAAGTCTCTGAGGCAGTAAGCAGAAATCACTGCCAGTTCTCAGATGAAAAACTGAATTATCAAGTGAATGATGCCAGGTAGTGACTGCACATCAAGAGAGAACAGCCACTCAGCTTCCACTGTGTCCTCAGTTACACTGCAAGTCCCACAGGACACAGGTGTGTTGAAGGAGCTGCAGGCTGCGTTCCTGCCACCCAGCTCCCTGCCGCCTAACTAGCTTATGCCCCAAAATAACGGCAAACTGTATTCTTTTAAAACACTGCTTGGCCCATTTCTATTAATGTATGTAGCATCACAAGGTGCACTTACCAGGAAGATTCTAGCCTACGTTCATCCTGAGTCGGTGCTTCATTTCGTCTGCCCTGGCAACAAGCGGCATGGCGTCTGAGCTCACTTCCTCTTCCTCCCAGCATTCTGTTCTGTTTACTCCACCCACCTATGTTCTAACCTATCAGGCCAAGCAGTTTCTTTATTAATTAACCTTCCTCCATCACAGGTGTGCAGTGGAAGCCAGATCAAATGCCACCACTGTCAGCAGGACCTTCCTCCCTCTGCCAAGGGGCATGAACACCCAGGTCTCTGGGTGGATCCTTAAAATGATGCTTCTTTTTCTTTTTTCTTTGTTCTTTTTTTTCAGATTCTTTTTAAAAAATAACTTATTTGCTTTTATTTTATGTGCATTGGTGTCTGTGTATATGTCTGTGTGAGGGTGTTGGGTCCCCTAAAACAGCCATGTGAGCTGCTGGGAATTGAACCCGGGTCCTCTGGGTGTGCAATCAGTGCTCTTCATCACCAAGCCACCTCTCTAACCCCTTTCCTTTGTTCTTTATGAAGTACACATTTGTCTTGTGTGGTTAGTCGGTGACTCGCCTCTCTGGCTAGCTCATGTGTCTGACATCTCTTACTCCTGGCATCTGTTGCTCTGCTATAACCAATGCCGAGGGCCCATCTGCCTGAGCTGCTTCTGTCTGGACCTCTTCATCAAGACAGAAGCTATGTCGGAGGCTGTAGTGATGAGCCACATAGATAACCAGCACACGGGTCAAGCTTGGCTCTGACTGAAACAGTCCCGCTTCCCACAGGCCTTCTAAAGCCGGAGCCAGCACGGATGCCCCCCAGTGGTGTCGGGGAGGCACACCAGAAACACTCTTCTTAAGCAGCGTCAGCAAAGGGGGTGTTTCCACAAAGCCACAGCCAGACAAACAAATGAGGAGTTTGAAAGTTTTATTTAGCACATTGTCTTCAGACTGGTGACAGCCTCAACAAGCGTGGGAGGGAAGAGAAAAACTTAGGATGTGTGTCTCAGTTTCTTGGTAACATGGAAGTCCAGGTATTCGTCCAGGAATCTGTTTGCTATCCCCAGGACAGCTAGGACAGCCAACAAGGCCGAACTACCCAGGCTCAACTTGAAACCGGTGATTCTGCAGGATGAACATGGGGGGGTGACGTGACTAACTGGGCCGCCATGAGGACTGTGGGGGCCCGGCAAAGGCTCATTGTTGGAACTGCCCGGAACTTCAACAATAGGCCGTTTGAAATATTTAGGTCATCATAAAAAGTAAAGGGGATGCCAAGCCACTGAGGTCAAGCAGCCCCCTGCACACATGGCGACCCCACCTAAATATTCTAGAAACAGGGCAGAGTTCTTGCTGGGATCTGTAGCGCTTGTGCGATGCGCAGATTCACGTTTTTATTTTCTCATCTTATACCTGATCGTGCAGTTTGGTAAGACTGGCCCCGGGCAACGGGGGTCACTTTGGTCACCAATACTCCATGTGTTCTTAATCCCCTCAGGAACAGAAGATGCAACCTGCTGCACCTTGCACACACACACACACACGCCATTATTCGGGTCTCCTTACCTTTTGTCAGCAGCTTCTGCGTAGCCCCAGAAGTACTTGTGACGGGCGTACAGGTACACGAGACCCAGACAAGACGCCAGAACTACGCAAGGGATAAAATAAAGAAAACACGTAGAGTTTCATGAATGTTTTCTCAAAATAAAGTGCTGAGACTGAGGAAGCGTTTTAAAAATATTTTCCTGACGAAATGTACGTGGCCAGAAGGAATAATCCTTATGACAATCAAAGAAAAAGAGCTTTTCTAAATAAGTGAAATATTTGAATTCGCGATTCACACAAGAAGATAAATAAGTGTGCCAGGATCACATGGAAAATGTTTCGACACAATTCAAGGTCAGCCGACTGCTAGTTAAAAAAACTGCAGTGAGAACCAGTGAGTCGACTCAGTGGGCAGAGTCAAGGTTCCAGTTCAATCTCCAGGGCCCAGAAAAGGAGGAAGGGGAGAGCAGATTTCATAGCGTTGGCCTCTGGGCTCCATGTGGGCTCTGTGGCACACGCCCCAAAATGCCCAGAGCAGCACACGCGCCCGCGCATGCACACACACACACACACACACACACATAACAATAAGTAAAAAAATAATCCATTTTAAATGTTTTTAGACTACAGTGAGAGGCTACCTTCAAGTACCCAGCAGAATGGCTAGAGTTTACTTTATTGTTTGGTTGTTTGGTTTCTTAAGGCAGAGTTTCTCTGTGTAACATTGGCTGTCCTAGAACTCACTTTGTATACAAGGCTGGCCTTGAATTTAGAGATCCACCTGTCTCTGCCTCCTTGAGTGCTGGGACTAAAGGCATTTGCCCCATACCAGGCATGGCTAAAATTTTAAGACCAACAATATAAAATGGTGAGGATATAGAAGAACGTTCATGAAAACTATGATTGGTCATCACAGTTATGAACTCTGTATTCGTAGTAACCAAAAGCTGCGATAGTCGGGAACCTTAACATCAGAGACTTGATCACCCAACAGTGTAGCCCTTCGGCACTGCCACCCCACAGTGAGTGAAGAGAAATGTATTCATTGCACCCCGGTGGCTCTCAGTAGCGCTCTGCTTGGACTGATGTGTTACACCTCGGTGCGTACTCTATTATTCCAATCACAGGAGGTACTAGAATGGGGAAAGCCAAACTGTGGGAAAGTCAGAGTCATGGAAGGAGTGAGAATAGATAGGTGCAAGGGCCAAGAGTAGACTTTCTAAACTGTGGCCGCGTTACATACCTTGATAAGGAATTGAGTCACACGAGCGTTAAACTCCATTGAACACCCAAGATCTGTACATTTTACCACACATAGGTTTTATCCCCAAAATACACAAAGCACAGTGTTGATGTTGCTGGCACCCTGACCAGTCAGAATATTGGTATCTTCTCTAAATGAGGCCCCTCCCTCAACACCACACAGACACAAACGGGATATCTAGAGCCTCTGTCTGGGACTGTGACATGCTGTTAAATTAAACTCACTATTCTACTTGGTCACCAAGATTTTTATTTTAATTTCCTGTGTATGCCAGGTGTTCCTAATGATTTGGTCAGCAGCTGCTTGTCTTTATGAATTTATTATTCTAGAGATGGGGCTGGAGCTCAGTAGAGTGCTTGGCCAGCATGCTCACTTCCTTGGGTTTAATCCTGGGCACCCCACGAAGATAAAACGAGAAGGAAAAAGAAACCTTCTTGTCTACGCATAACTGATCCTTTGTATGATAGAGAAATGTGTGTGTGTGTTGCATGGTGTGTATGTTCGTGTAAGCATGTGTGCGTGTGCATGTGCTTGTACCACACATGTACATATGGAAGCCAGAGACCGATGTCACCTATCATCCTCAGTCATGACCCCACTCCTTTTTTTTTGAGCCAGGGTCTCTTTTTGATCTTGGAGCTCATTGGCCAGGTAATGTGCCTCTGTACTAGGCTTTCTGTGTGAATGCTGGGTTAGAACTCAAGTCTTTATAGCAGGCACCCTAAGGACTGAGCCATCTCTTCTGTCAATGAAGAAGACAAGAGACAGAGACAGGAAAATTGCAGGCTTGGAAGCATTGTGGAAAAGTCAAAGGGGGTAATGTGGGACAGGAGGGAGCTGGAGGAGTTGCTGTCTTCTTAGAGAGGGCTCTGGGGGACACTGTGGAGGGAGCAGGCACCAAACGATGAGAACAAGGGGACCCAGAGTAAAGGCAGATTCTGAGCATGCTCCCTGTTAAGAATTACTATCCCAACTTACTGAATTGCTGTCCCCAAAGCCAGTGAACAGCCAGAAGCAGTCTAGTAGGCCACTTACTTTGGGCAAGAAAAGAATGACAATACCTAAGAACCCTTTTCTGCTTAGGCAGTCTACCTCATTCCGCCCATCGTGGGGAAATCCGAGGGGTCAAGTGACAGAGACAGAATTCCATTATCTAAAGGCACTTCCCTTATTAGTTGTTAATCTGTCCTTAGATGGAAAGGAACAGCCACTTTCGCTCATGCCATTAAGGAACAAAAGTGTGAGCCGAGTGAAGTTTAAAAGTCATTCTCTAAAGGTCATTGTATCTGAAATCTCTTGGTTGACAGTAAAAATTGCAAGAAAGAGATTGATGAAAGGTTCTTTCAAAGCAGCTGGCTTTTAGTTTATTTAAATCTTAACAATCAGATGCATACCCAAATGAGGCCATTACAGTTGCCAGGAATCAAAGGGGATTCTATTTCCCCAGCTAGGGTGTCCATAGAGGTCCAACCCCCAAATACGTGGGTCCACAGAGCCCTCAGCTCATCAAGGAAACTTCAGCTAAACAGAAAGGGCATGGTTGCAGACCTGCTGCCTCCAATGTGCAGCACCACGTCCCTCTGGGCCCTTGGAACAAATTCAATGGACCTGCTATGTCCTTGAATGCAAGATTTTCTCCACTTTGGTAAAGATATTTGTGTGTCTTAGTTTCCTCATATGGAAAGTAGAAATCAATTGTTGACTCTGTCTCATATGGAAGTTTAAAATCCTACAAATCTATGAGCTTCAAACAATGACCTGGCACACCGTAAGTGTTCCATAAACATTGTTGTCATGGAAGCAAGTTGTTTTCTGTGTTCTGATCCTTTGCTTTAATCAGATTATTAGATTTGGAGACAAGGTCCACACTACTTTTATCCTTGGGTATCTAGCATATAGATTTGTTTCAACTTGTGTATGGTCTACAGCCACACGACCTTGAATGCATCCTATTCGTCCAAGATACTTTCGTTGGGGAATAGGAGGATGCTCAGACCCAAACCCTTGGCCCTGTACATTCCAGGCAAATATTCTTCCACTGAGCTACGTTAACCTTTGCTTTGTTGTTGTTGCTGCTGCTGCTGCTGTTGCTGTTTCTTACATTCCAGTCAAAGTTTCCCCTCCTTACCCTCTTCCCAGTTCCTCCCCGCTGCACCACCCCATCCACTCCTCCTCCACTGCTTCTCTTCAGATACAGCAGACCTCTCATGGATATCAACCACTCATGGCCTATCAAGTTACAGCAAAACTAGGCACCTCCTCTTCTGTTAATCCTGGGTAAAGCAATACAGTAGGGAGAACGGGTCCACAAAGCAGGCAACACAGTCAGAGACGCCCCTGCTTTCACGGTTAGGAGTCCCACATGAAGACACAACTGTCACATAAATGCGGAGGGTCTAAGTCAGTCCCATGCAGGCTCACTGGCTGTCAGTCAAATCTCTATGAACCACTATGGACCCCTACGGACTTCTATGAAGGTTAGTTTTAACCCTTGCTTTTTGAGACAGAATCTCACTATATAGTTCTGTCTCTAGATCCTGAGTGTTGGAATCTCAGGTATTTACTCCTGTATCCGACTGCTAGTTTTTTGGGTTTATTTTTAATTATTGAACTGACTTACATTGAAGCCATGTGAGCCCACCTAGAACTTGGACATACACAGGCATTGCTTCTTATATTTAAAGTCATTTCCAGCATCGGTAGCAGTGTGGCCAGCTATCTGCCCCTTAATCGTGTTTAAACACCACAGTCATTGGGATGAGATGACGTGTTCCTATAATTACCTTGATTGAAGTACCATCCGGCCAGCCACAGTATTAGGATGAACACGGGATAAGACTCCAAAGAGTTTTGTCTGCAGGGAGAAAAGAATAAAGGTGAAGTTGAATTCATGAAGAAATACACACTAATGCATTGGCTTTCCTTCTGCAGGTGAGCGTTCAATCCATTCAAACAGAAATAATACAAGAACTTACATAAGAAATCTAAAGGGCCCTTCCACTTAAAAAGAGTCTTTCAAGGTGAGACTCAACATTGCTCAAAGCGCAGAGTCTGGCAAAACCTTCTCCTATACGCAAATTTTGTCATTAGAGGAGCAAGTCATGACTCCTTTCTAGAAGACAAGTCTCCTGAGCCTGAATGTCGTTCTGCGCCTTATCCAAATTCCCCAAGAGGCTACTCGGCTCCTATTAAACAGGTTTCTTCTTAAAAAGTCCCTGACAGGGGCTAGAGAGATGGCTCAGTGGTCAAGAGCATTGCCTGCTTTTCCAAAGGTCCTGAGTTCAATTCTCAGCAACCACATGGTGGCTTACAACCATCTGTAATGAGGCCTGCAGGAAGAATACTGTATACATAATAAACAAATAAATAAATATTTTTTTAAAAAAAGTCCCTGACACCCATAGCTTTTCACTTGAGTAAGTCAGAACATTCAGGTTGTCTTTAAATAATTCCCCTTAAACCTTCTGAAGTAGAGAAATGAACGCATTTCATTCTCATTCTATGCAGTGGGAAGTAAGACCCGAGAGACAAGGTGCCTGACGGGATTTGAAGATCACTGGCAGCTCTTGCAGAGGCCGCGAGTCCATTTCCCAGCATGCACATGGCAGCTCTCAACTGTCTGTAACTTCTGGCCTCTGTGGGCCCAGGCTCACGAGTGCCGCACAGATACACATGCAGGCAAAACAATCATAGACCCAGAGCAGAAAGTAAAACTAGCAGACAGCAGCATCAAATTGCCTCTACTGCGGGAAGCTCAGATGGAAATTTTGATACTATTTTAAGCACAAGGGAATAGTTCTCCCGGAGCTACAACTAACTCTTCTCTATGTAGCGGAGAAGGGGAAAGATGAGATGGAATCGTGGTCAGGTTAGCTCCGTGTTGTTCACAGAGAGCACAAGCAGAGAAGACAGAGCTCTCAACAGTCATTTCAGCTTCCCTGGAGGTCACGTAAGAACAACGTGTGACTTCTGAGGCCTGGTGACACATGCCCGTCATCTCGGCTGTTTGGGAAGCTGAGGCAGATGTGTCCCTTCAAGTCCTGCCTGAGCTACAGAATGAGTTCAAGGCCAACCTGAGCGACTTAGTGAGACCGTGTCTCAAAATGGAAAACTATAGAAATGGGGGGAGGGGAGCTGGAGAAGATGGTTTAGTACATGTAGAGGACCCGAGTTCAGTTCCCAACAGCCATGTCAAGGGACTGAACCACCTGTAACTCCAGGCCCAAGACACTCAGTGCCCTCTTCTGACTTCTGTAGGCACCCATACGCATGTGCATGAGACACACACATACACATAAATAAAAATTACAATAAAATCTTTTTTAAGACTTGGGTTGTTTCTTAGCATTGGGGTGTTTTCCTAGCATGTGCAAGGCTCTAGATACAATCCCTACCCCTTCAATAGAAATAAGGAAAGGGAACAATTGACACACCCCGCCCCCCCACAGGCCATGGCCGATGCAGCATCCTGAAGCACAAGGAGAAAGCCCTAACCTCACCAACAGAAGCAATGAGGACCCTTTTACTCTCTAGGAGCCTGGAAATGGCAGATGAACGGTACTAATGTAGAGATGCTTTCTTCTGTCTCATCTCGTTATCTCTTTAAGGCCCAAGGAAGCACTCCTGTGGAGCGTAGCACAAGCCAGAGGTGCAGCCCTCTAGTGCTCAGAGAAGTGACTAAGCTGTTCTTCCTCTGCATCCTCGGCATGGCTTTGCTTCTGATGGTTTCGTAAGTTTGTAAGGAGCTATGATAGGGTATGTGAAAGATACTTTCTGCATTTCCACAGGAAGAGTAATGGCAGTTAACTAAAAATAAGAACGTATTTCTCCGCATTTTCCTTTCCTTGGCTAGATCCATGGAACCTTTCCCAGGGAACAAGAGGGAACAGCACACGCGGGAGGGTTCTAACCCTTGCCCCGTCAGTGCAATTTTCTGGCCCTTTTTTTGAAAACATCCCACAACTGCCCCGTCCTTTTTATTAGGTTTCCTATACCCTAAATTATTCCAGACGTGTTTTTCCACATCTTCTTACTCAGATCAGCTGTGACGTTTTAAACACCTCTGAAGCGTCGGTCACAGAAGTCTCTTTGAGGACTTTCCTTGTGGTGAATTAATGGCCTCAGTGTTGTGTTTGAGGGGCAGAGATACACAGAGCCTCCCAGTCACACCCTGGTTCCACTCAGGAGACCAGTCGGGGAGCCTGTGGTCTCTTTAGGGTTTGTCCACAGAGGCTGACAAGCTGAGGTGTTTTTGCGCCCCTGCCTGAAAGAGCAAGAAAGACTCGGAGAAGAAGAGAGAAAAAATGAGAATGGCGGGGCTATGCAGGTCTTTCCTTGCCACTCAAGCTGAAGAAACTCCTTAGTGGAGAGCAGCCTGGGTGTGGATGCCTCAGCTTCGCGAAGCGCAGTACCAGGCGTCAGGTGACAAGGTGAGGGGACCCTGAACCTTGCCTCCTCCCACTGCAGCACCCAGAGCAGCCCCGGGATTTGGCCCAGTGTCTTTTCTATTACCACAACAAAACACCAGGACCCAGAAAGCAAGTTGGGGAGGAAAGGGTTTATTTGGCTTCCACTTCAGCTTTGCTGTTCACCACTGAAGGAAGTCAGGACAGGGACCCACACAGGGCAGGATCCTGGAGGCGGGAGCTGGTGCAGAGGCCATGGAGGGGAGCTGCATACTTGCTTGCTCCCATGGCTTGCTCAGTCTGCTTTCTCATAGAACACGGGGCGGCCACCCCAGGGATGGCATCACCCATGATAGGCCGGACCCTCCCACATTGATCACTAATTAAGAAAATGCCTCACAGGCTTGCCTACAGCCTGATCTGTGGGAGGCATTTTCTCAGCTGAGGTTCCCTCCCTTCAGATAACTCGAGCTTGTGTCAAGCGGACATAAAACTAGCCAGGACACCCACATATGGACAATGCTCCAGCACCCAAGGAGAGTACCATGTGCAGCATTGAGGTCTACCATTTAGCTGATTGAAGCTGGGGCTGGGTCACTGGGAACACCCCAACTTCCTGAAGCAATCAAGAAGATGGAAACGTCGGTGCTAAGACACAGGGGGTGGTTAGAGGCCATGGAGATGAGGCAAGAATTGATTGTAGCTCCATGTGTGGCCATGGAAAAGAAAAGCCTGGGGCACTAAGGCAGGCTACTCTATCTTCTGCATCTTTATCGCCCAAGAAATGGGTCCGTTGTCCTTTTACAAGCAGGAGTCACTCCTGAACTCACCCAACCTCATGTCCTTCTTTGCAGACAGGCCTCAAGCCTTGCTTCCTCTAGAGTGCAGGGTGGCATTAGTCCCCTTGTAGCCACGACAAAGTGCCCGGCAAAGCAACTGCAGGGACGAAGGACTTGTCTTGTGTCACAGCTTGAGGGTAGAGCCCACCACAGTAGGGAAGACCTGGGGACAGGCGTAGAGCCGCTGGTCACATTGCCTCCCAGCCAACAAGCTGAGAGAGATGGGTGTTACTTGCTCAGCTGGCTTCTTCCTTCTTTGCCTTTAATTTAGATGAGGACCGCATCCCATGGTGCCACATACATCCAGGGTGGGTCTGCCCCCTCCATCAGACCTCTCGGGAAATAGCTTCAAAGGCAGCTCAGAGGCGTGTCTCCTAAGTGAACTCGAATCCAGGCCATTTACAAGGAATAGCCATCCTATATCCTTGTCGGTCTCCCAGAATCATCTTTCAGACACTGGAAATACTTCTCGGACTGCTGCTTGTGGTCCCTACTCTTTGCTGCCTGGTAGCATGGTTTTACACCTGGAAACACCTGGAGGCCCGTTCTGTCTGCTCACTGCCACCCTGGGCCCATACCCTTCTCCCACCAGCAGTACCTCTGAGTCCCCAAGAGCTCCCGCAGCATGATGATCAAGTGTGGTGTGCCCCACGACAGCCACCACTGTGAACTGTCAGCGGATGCATTCAACTTAAGGGGACCAAGTCCTGAACATGCCTTGCCTATGCCAACAGCAGCTAATTATTTTCGCTGACAGGACAAACCAATATGGAAACAATTTTAGCCTCTTTCTAACCACCTGCACGGCCACACCCTGTATTCTCCTTAGAGACATCCTGAGGGAAAGTCCTGTGTCAGCTGCCCTTCACCAACACAGTCGGGGATGACTGTCTAGGGACTATCTCCTCCCCTACGTCCACGTAGGGAAAAATGGGCTGTGCAGAGTCACTTTCTGGTTACAGCCACCACTGCGCAATAGCCATGACTTCTTTGCACACTGCTACCCCTGTAGAAATACGGGGAAGGGGGGTCGTGTTTTAAGCAGATGACACCAAGGGCATCATCAAACTCCACACCAGGGAGAGAAACTGAAAAGGTCTTCACTAGATGGCCAGTAGGGGGAGCAAGTGTCCTGACCGTGGAATTTAAGATTTGAAACCAATACGGACCCTGGTACAATGCCCTGATTTGTCTGGAACCAAAATGTTTCAGGATACATGAGGCTTAAGGGAGAAAATGGGAAAAGCCTGAGAAGAACGGAACCCGCTGGGCACGGTGATGCTTGTGCGTGTGCCCTGTGTTCCTCTACACTAAGGAGCACCGGCTGCAGGCTGCGCCCTGCCCAGAGTAATTCCAGCTTGCAAGCAGCCTTTGGCTCCATGTCAAGTGCACACGCAGAGGAAAATAGCTCTAGGTCCGCCCACGGACACCTCCAGCTGTCCAGCTCCAGCCACGGGGCACAGACTGAAAGCAAATTCAGCCCACCAGTGCAAAGGTGTCACTTTTACATTATCAAACTAAAACAGGAGCGCATGGGTGCCCGGGAAGATTCAAACCATATTAGTAAATACAGGCCCAAGGACTTACCAACTGCACTAGACCAATGAAAG